TAAATATTTTATGAAATACATATTCTAAACAGCACATTATCACAGCACTGCACAACACTACAGATTTACATTTCATCTGCTTTTCAGCTGGACAGTTTTGGAAACGTTCAGTCTAAAGCTCTGTTACACTTTCCACTGATTACTTGTTGCTAGGAGATTTTTACCTATTTTCCCCCCAATAGATTCACACTTCACACCTTGAAAGCAATGAGTCAGAAAGAAAGTAGCCAGTTTGCCAAATTGCTTATTTGTAAAGTAATAGCATTAGCACTTCTGCACTTCTTTATTAGGCTTTGTTCTGTGTAAAAATACAAACTAGCACAGATACTACGGCACTGCTTCACAAATCATTTAGATCCAATTTATTTAGAACTTTCTTTAAAAAGAAAAAGAACTCTAGAAACAGAATTGCTTCTGTGAGCGAGTCCCCGTTTAAAGTTTCATTTTACATAAAGGTGACAGGACTTTTACCTCATCCATTTGTGTTCAAGAAGTAACTATAATAATGATAACAAAGCAATCAGTATTTTTGGCAGGTTTCTTAAAATTTAAAAAGTGAGTCTCCTCCAAATGTCTTTTCTCTCTAAGGCTGAGCAACACAATCAGCATTTTGGAGGCTTCATCTGTACCTTATGTTTTGGTCATTAGATGTCATTGCCATAGATGGGAGTGGGTAAATCAAGGCATCAACTAATGTTTGGAAAAGCAAAACAAAAACAAAAAGAAGTTTCACATACATACAGCAATTAAAATGACAGAAATAGATCAAATAAAGTCTGAAGTTTAAATATAGAGTCCACGGCCCACAGTCAAAGCCACCTTTTTTCTTCAGCCTGGCTCTCGCAGCAGCATTCTGGACCGTTTGTAGGCGATCCAGGGACAGTTTGCTTAGGCAGAGGAATAAGGAATTGCAATAATCGAGGCAGGATGAAAAAATGTTCTATACATACTAGAGATGGCACGATACCACTTTTTTATGTCCGATACCGATATCATAAATTTGGATATCTGACGATACCGACATGAATCCGATATAGTGTTTTTTAATCAATAAAAC